TTGGGAAATCTGAACTATAGCAGCATTTGAACCTTCGGTGATAATTGAAGGTGATACATGATTTCTGGACCAATCTTCCTTTTTTAAAATGTGTTTTATCTTATTATGATTCATTAAAAATATATTTAGCTAGGCCTTCAAACATGGGACTGTATTGTTGCCATTACTAGTTTTTAATTTCCAGTAGTGTCCTTCTTTTAAAATGATAGAAGTGCTGAGTCAACTTGAAAAATTTCATTAAAATAAAAATACTAAGGAGTATATTTGTTACGAAGTACAAAAGTATTGAAAGTCATACAGAATGAACTAATTTAATCTGCAAGATTCCTGCCCTTGGGGATGTAGGGGAAACTCAATACTGCCAAAACAAAAATCCTGGAGAGAAACATTGGATTATGGTGTGATGGTCCATTAAATATTTGAATTATAATTTATAAACAATTCCAGTGATGAGTGCTTTAAGATGTAAAAAAGTTTTAATGTATAGGTCAGATTGCTCCCTTTAAATGACTGGTTTTGTCTAGTTTAAAAATGGAGATTAAAGTGAATGACTTTTCTTCTCTTTTTCAGTTGTACACGCATTGTTCAATCACATAGACTCATCAGGATTGAAGGATAAGTCTGTCGAAGAACTCAAGGAAAGATACGGTGGTTGATTTCTGTTCTTACTGCAATTACTGTGACTACATTATTTTTTTTCCTACTGAAAATGCAGTACTTTGTTTTGCTTTTTAAAACAATGTGAAGTAGAGAAAACTGTCTTTGGACAGAAGTATAAAGTGGATTGTGATTTTACTGTGGCCCCATGTACTCAAGTGGACTATTTATAAATCTTTTTGTGGAAATAAAATATATAATGTTTATATGTAAGAATTCGTATTTTCTCTTAGAAATCATTTCAAATGTTAAATTTACATATTCTTTACTCCTCTACAAATGTGATGTTTTTATATTTTCACGACTTTTTGTAAACCACTTGCAAAGATTGCTTTATTAGCGTATGAATACATTTATTTTGTTTAGAAAGGGATATAAGAACATAACCAGTTTGTTTATACAGTTTAAATATCACTGTACTAGCCCACCATATAATATGTAGTTGCAGCACATGTATTTTCATTATTTGTGTTTGTATTAGTCTAGGTACTTTGGAGAAACAAATCCACAGTGACTCA